TTGGTGAATAGTGATAACTTTTTAACTTTTTGAATAACTTTTTGACTTTTTGGAGACTTCCCAAATTTGGCCTTAATATAACATTTGGTCAATAAATATAATTTTGATTTTCTTTATTCGAAAGTCTATATAGTAAAACAGTCATACTAGGTATCATGAAAAAATTTTAATAAAAATAATCATGAAAACTTTGTGACCCTTGGATTACACTTAGAATAAAGCACCACACACTAATTGTCACACCCCTAACTCGCCCCTAAAAGTTTTGGGCATGAACTAATCCGAAACAGACATTTACCCTGTGATATAAAATATCCGGGGCCTGAATGGAAGCGTTAATATAAAAGTTTAACATATAGACACAACCATTGAGCTACTACACAAATGCCAGGATCATGACTCGGAATTAAACTCATAGTAGACATGTGTCTGATATGACGTTATATACACATTTACAAGTCCAGCCCAGAGGTTGGGCATACAACAAAATATTAGATACAACAAGTTTGGTCTACAAAACATTAGCACAAAATGACATGGTCTGACAAAATTGTCCTAGCAGAAAAAGGCTTCTCTAAGTGCCTGGTTGTCCTTAGGTTGACAAAAGATAGATGATAACCATGCTAGGACTGACCCCCGAGTTGGTTTCCTATAGAATCAGACAAAATTACAAAGTGAGACAAGCTCAGTGAATAATAATACTTAAGCAGTTTAATAACCACCTTTAGTAACAATGCGTAACAATGCATTCACAAAATGAGATTCAAAAGTGAGTCTGATATGGTTTTACTTGCAGAACGACTGTTGGCCCAGAGTAATCAGAACAGCCTTTCGGCCCAGAACGTACAAATATGTACGTATATCTTCTCAGTGTTTCATTTTCATTAAGTTCCAATCAATACGTATGCGAAAATCATAACTGACGGAAAACAGAATGTTATTAACAGATATAGCGGAAAATAAATGTACATTCGATGTACTATTACTCACAGCGTTGTGATGGCGTGCTAGTTCCTTCCGGAGTGTGCCCTGCATACAACCATAACTTGTAAATTAGTTCTCTTTCTTCTTAACTCATTGAGGAATTATTTCCTGTGTTATTACCCTTCAAATGAATTATAACCATCTTAAATCATCAGAAAAATATTCTAAAAATACCAGAGAGCCAAGCACGCAAAACTGAACCAATACAGTTTCTTTCTGAAAATAAGTCCCCCGATCGAGCGCCAATTTGGCCGCTCGAGCGTACTGTATAATTTTAACAAAAATGCTGAAAGGTCGATTTTTGTGCTCGAGCGGAAGTTCCTCCGCTCGAGTGGACAGGGTAATTTTGGAAAACTGCTGAGAGGGTCATTTTCCCGCTCGAGTGACCATGGCCTCCGCTCGAGCGGCCGTAGCCCTGAATTGAGGCAGCTCAATTCCATACCAAAAATCCATCTTTTACAAACACAAAACAAAGCCTCAAAATGGTTCGAACATCAAATTAAGGTGCTAAATCACACAACAAATTAATCACAACCCTCCTTACACTTTCAATCACTAAATCCATACTCAAACCAACCATAATCTTTCCAAAGTTCCCTTATTTTTGGGTTTACATGAATAGATGCATAGAAAGCTACCTAAGCTTCTAATTCAAACACATAATTGAATAATCTCATGAAATTTCAAGGAAATAAGGGATAGATTTCCCTTCATAACTCAATTTGATTATCAACATAAATTATCTCCTAAAACCCTCACATCTACCATAACCTTCCAAAACGAAAGAAGAATCCCCAACCAAGATTAAGAGAGAGAGACTAGATCAAGAAATTTTCCATACCTTGAGTTCAATCTAAACAATCCTCACAAATTTCCCCAAATTCTTCTCTTGGAGAGTTTCTCTCCAACACTCATATTTTCCCCTCTTCTTGGTTGCACACAAGAGATACTCTCAAGTCAAAGACATCTTAGAGTTTAAGATAGATATTTATGTTTATAATAAGACAAAATTTAATCATTTAAGCATCCTAAATTGCAATTTCACAGAAAATCCCATTAGAGCTTAAAAATTATGCAGATTCCAAATATCAAATCAATTTTCGAAAATTAAGCCTCTAAGTTGCCCAATTTCAGATTCAAATAGTTTATTGTGACAGATAATTTCCTTATTCAAAAGATAGGAATCCATATTTCTAAGTTTCATGTAATTCAATGTACTTTCACACAGAATTTCACAATAAGCATTCAAAAACACAGAATAGAGGACCGAAGAGATACCAGAATCATGTACGAGGGTCGAGTTATTACACTCTTCCCCCCTTAAATAAGTTTGGTCCTCCAAACTTGTTTTACCTTAGGACGGAAACAGATGCGGATATTGGTGTTGCATTTCATCTTCCTTTTCCCAAGTTGCCTCGGTTCCGTAGTGCTCTTGCCATTCCACTTTCACCATTGGAATTTCTCGGTTCCGTAACTGTTTCACTTGACGATCCAGAATTCGAATTGGTTTTTCCTCGTATGTTAATTTGTTAGTCAACACAATTTGGTGATAATCAATAACATGTGACTGATTTGGAAGGTATCCTCGAAGCATAGAAACATGGAACACGTTATGAATCTGACTCATATATGGCGGAAGGGCAACTCGGTAGGCTACTGGACCCACTTTTTCTAAAATCTGGAAGGGACCAACATATCGGGGTGTCAGTTTACCCCTTTTTCCGAATCTTGGATGTCCTGTCATTGGGGTAACTTTCACAAAAACATGACTGTCCACGTCAAACTTCAAATTCCTTCGCCAGTTATCTGCATAACTCTTCTGTCTACTTTGGGCAGTTTTCAATCTTTCTCGAATAATTCTAACCTTTTCAGTTGTCAACTGGACAATTTCTGGCCCTAACAATGGCCTATCTCCAACCTCAGCCCAACACACGGGAGAACGACACGGTCTTCCATACAGAGCTTCATAGGGTGCCATTTCAATACTTGAATGGTAACTGTTATTATACGCAAACTCAACCAATGGCAGATGAGTTTCCCAACTTTCCCGAAAATCCAGAACACACATTCGAAACATATCTTCTAGCGTCTGAATCGTCCTCTCGGATTGTCCATCTGTTTGAGAGTGGAAAGTTGTGCTAAACTTTAATTCTGTACCCATTACCTCCTGCAGACTTTACCAGAACCTTGAAACAAATTTTGGATCTCTATCTGACACAATTGAGACCAGAACACCGTGAAGCCTTACAACTTCATTCACATAGATCACAGCAAGTTTATCTGCATTATACTGGGTCTTCACAGGCAGGAAGTGGGCAGACTTTGTCAATCGGTCGACAATGACCCATATAGAATTCATTCCCCGAGGTGTCCGTGGTAAGCCTACAACAAAATCCATGGTCAAATGTTCCCATTTCCATTCTGGGATTGGAAGAGGTTGTAATAATCCTACGGGTTTCTAAGGCTCTGCTTTTACCTGCTGACACTGCAAACACCTAGAAACGAATTCTGCGATTTCTTTTTTTCATACTTGGCCACCAAAAATTTTGTTTCAAATCTCGGTACATTTTAGTACTTCCTGGATGCATTGAAACTCTTGAGGCATGTGCCTCTTCCATTAACTTCCGTTTAAGTTCTACTACATTAGGGACACATACTCGATTTTGAAATTTAAGCACAGCATCTGTCAAAGCGAACCCCAGTTTCTGTTTTGTCTCCAGTTCATCACATATCTTCTTTAGAGCTCCATCCTCCATTTGGCGTAATTTAATCTCCTCAAGTAATGTTTGTTGGGCTATCATTGTTGCCACTATTGCTTCTTGACTATGTATCACCAAGTCGACCCCCATCTTATTCAGCTCACTTATCAACTCCTTTTCCTCTATCAATAAACTTGCCAAATTTCCCACATTTTTCTGACTAAGCGCGTCTGCTACCGTGTTAGCTTTACCAGGGTGATAATGGATCTGCAAATCATAATCCTTAATAAGTTCTAACCATCGTCGTTGGCGCATATTCAACTCTTTTTTGGGTAAAAAGGTATTTGAGACTTTTATGATCAGTATAAATGTCACAAGTAGCCCCATACAGATAATGCCGCCAAATTTTTAAGGCAAAAATTAGAGCGGCTAGTTCAAGATCATGCGTGGGATAATTCTTCTTATGAGGTTTAAGCTGTCGAGAGGTATAAGTGATAACCCTTCCGTTTTGCATAAGCACACAAGCAAGTCCCTTGTGTGAAGCATCATTGTAAATCACAAATCCCTCAGTACCAGATGGTAGTGCAAGGACCAGAGCTGTAGTTAACTTCATTTTTAATTCGTGAAAAGCAGATTCCCACTGTTCCGACCATTCAAATGCAACTCCCTTTTTAGTCAATTGTGTAAGTGGTACAGCAATCTTGGAAAAATCCTGAACAAATCTCCGATAGTATCCGGCTAACCCCCTAAAACTACGCACTTCAGTCACATTCTTCGGAGTCGGCCAGTTCACAATTGCATCAATCTTGTTTGGATCAACAGAGACTCCTTCCTTAGTTATAACATGCCCCAGAAATGCCACTTCATGTAACCAGAATTCACACTTCTTTAGCTTTGCATACAACTTCTTTTCTCGGAGGGTTTGAAGGATTAAGCGAAGATAGTCTTCATGAGCGTCTGCATTCTTGGAGTAAATAAGGATGTCGTCAATAAAGACCACTACAAACTCATCCAGATAAGGTTTGAAGACACAGTTCATCAGATCCATAAATGCTGCTGGTGCGCTAGTAACTCCAAAGGGCATAACCAGAAATTCGTAATGACCGTATCGGGTTTGGAAAGCTGTCTTCTCAACATCATCAGCTTTAACTTTCAATTGGTGACATCCGGACCGTAAATCAATCTTGGAAAAGACCTGTGCCCCTTGTAATTGATCAAATAAATCATCGATCCGCGGTAATGGATACTTATTTTTGATTGTTACCTTATTAAGCTCCCGGTAGTCTATACATAAGCGGAGTGTTCCGTCTTTCTTTTTCATAAACAGAACTGGTGCACCCCACGGAGAAAACTCGGGCGGATAAACCCCTTATCCAATAGGTCTTGCAACTGAGTCTTCAATTCCCTCATTTCAACTGGTGCCATTCGATACGTGGATTTAGAAATGGGTTGGATTCCCGGTAGCACTTCAATCGTGAATTCAATTTCACGGTCCACTAATTCTCCTGGTAATTCTTCCGAAAAGACGTCTGGAAATTCACAGACAACTGAAATCGCACCAATATTCTCATTCATTGTTGGCCCTTCCAAAACACTAGATAAGTACCCTTGACACCCTTTCTGAATTAATTTACAAGCCCTAGCCGCAGAAATCACATACGGTGGAGGAGTCCCTCCTTGTCCCTGAAAAGTAGATTTTAATTGCCCTGGAGGGTGGAATTGGATTTGCTTTGTCAGACAGTCGATAGTGGCACTATATTCACCCAACCAATCCATCCCCAGAATAATATCAAAAGAAGTCATATCAGGTGTTAATAGATTAGTATATACACGGATATCCCCAATGAGAAGTTCACAAGCAGAATAGACAGAAGTACAGATCATGGAATTTCCCATAGGTAAAGATACACACAACACATAAGTCAATTCTTCTTCAGGTTTATCTAAGTTCTTCGCAAATAATTTTGACACAAAGGAACAGGTAGAGCCAGAATCAAATAAGACGTAAGCAAAATGACCATGAACCATAAATGTACCTGACACCACTGTTGTTGCATTCTGTACATCTCCCGGAACCACCGCAAATACCCTACCTTGCCTCGTAGTATCCTTATTGTTAGCGGGTTTAGCAATTGCCTTGGCATTAGGAGCCGGTGTAGACCCTGCTGAGCTTGTGGCGGCCTTATTACCAGTTTGTTGATTCTTTTGCGGACAGTCTTTTATCAAATGCCTCGTTTTGCCACATCGAAAACATGCCCTAAACAATCGGTGACAAATCCCTCGATGCCTCCACCCACACTCTGGACAAACAGGAGCTGAATTTTGAGGAGAGGTCGTAGTGTTAGAAGTCCCTGAATTTTGCTTCTTGTTTGGTGGAGTAGTTGACCCCTTGACCCATTGGTTGTTCTGCCTCTTTCCTTTCCATTCAGAAATCCGAGTCTGAGCAGCAATGTTCCCTTCTGCTATAACAGCTCGTTCTAACACATCAACATAGGTAGGCAACTTCAATACATTAACTCAGTCCAGAATAGCACCCCGCAATCCTCCTTCAAATTTTCGTGCCTTCTTATATTCTGTATCCACCATGTGAGGTGCATACCGGGCTAGTTCCGCGAATTGAGCTTCATATTCGGCAACCGTTTTATTTCCTTGTCTCAATGTTTCGAATTCAGTCACCTTCTTGTCTCGCATACTCTGGGGAAAATATTTATCATAAAACAGCACCAAAAACCTGTCCCATGTCAACCCCTGATGCATTATTCTTGTAAGCATCCACCACCTCCGTGCTTCATCTTCAAGAGTAAAAGCAGCAAGCTGTACCTTTTGGATTTCAGTACAGGGGAAAACTTCGAACAATTTTTCTATTCCTAACACCCATCCCTCAGCCTTCATTGGTTCAATTCCTCCTTTAAACGATGGTGGTTTCATCTTTTTAAACTCCTTCGTAAGTGTAATGGTGCGGTCCTCAGCATGGAAATCTTGCACTACGGTGGGGGTACTGGTGGTGGTGGCGGCTGTGGCTATTGTTGCTGTTGTTGTCGTCGTAGCGTTTCCGCCTCTATAATCATTCTTTCCATCCTGTCCAACCGTGCTGAGGTAGCATCTTCCTGCTCTTCGGTCCTTATTCTCACCATAGTCTACAGAACAATCAATTACAACATACACAAAAGAATACAATAGACATTGATCATCATCGTTAGCATTAGCAGAAAACATTTAACATTGCTATCAATCTTCCTTTACTACATGATGCCTACGTCTTTCTAGACATCTTGAAGCTCAATGGATCCGTATGTGAGATAGCAACTCGTGCTCTGATACCACTTGTCACACCCCTAACTCACCCCTAAAAGTTTTGGGCATGACCTAATCCGAAATAGACATTTAACCTGTGATATAAAATATTCGGGGCCTGAATGGAAGCGTTAATATAAAAGTTTAACATATAGACACAACCATTGAGCTACTACACAAATGCCAGGATCATGACTCGGAATTAAACTCATAGTAGACATGTGTCTGATATGACGTTATATACACATTTACAAGTCCAGCCCAGAGGTTGGGCATACAACAAAATATTAGATACAACAAGTTTGGTCTACAAAACATTAGCACAAAATGACATGGTCTGACAAAACTGCCCTAGCATGAAAAAGGCTTCTCCAAGTGCCTGGTTGTCCTTAGGTTGACAAAAGATAGATGATAACAATGCTAGGACTAACCCCCGAGTTCGTTTCCTACAGAATCAGACAAAATTACAAAGTGAGACAAGCTCAGTGAATAATAATACTTAAGCAGTTTAATAACCAGCTTTAGTAACAATGCGTAACAATGCATTCACAAAATGAGATTCAAAAGTAAGTCTGATATGGTTTTACTTGCAGAACGGTTGTTGGCCCAGAGTAATCAGAACAGCCTTTCGGCCCAAAACAGCCTTTCGGCCCAGAACGTACAAATATGTACGTATATCTTCTTAGTGTTTCATTTTCATTAAGTTCCAATCAATACGTATGCTAAAATCATAACTGACGGAAAACAGAATGTTATTAACAGATATAGCGGAAAATAAATGTACATTCAATGTACTATTACTCACAGCGTTGTGATGGCGTGCTAGTTCCTTTCGGAGTGTGCCCTGCATACAACCATAACTTGTAAATTAGTTCTCTTTCTTCTTAACTCATTGAGGAATTATTCCCTGTGTTATTACCCTTCAAATGAATTATAACCATCTTAAATCATCAGAAAAATATTCTACAAATACCAGAGAGCCAAGCACGCAAAACTAAACCAATGCAGTTTCTTTCTGAAAATAAGCCCACCGCTCGAGCGCCAATTTGGCAGCTCGAGCGTACTGTATAATTTTAACAAAAATGCTGAAAGGTCGATTTTTGTGCTCGAGCGGAAGTTCCTCCGCTCGAGCGGATAGGGTAATTCCGGAAAACTGCTGAGAGGGTCATTTTCCCGCTCGAGCGACCATGGCCTCCGCTCGAGCGGCCGTAGCCCTGAATTGAGGCAGTTCAATTCCATACCAAAAATCCATCTTTTACAAACACAAAACAAAGCCTCAAAATGGTTCGAACATCAAATTAAGGTGCTAAATCACACAACAAATTAATCACAACCCTCCTTACACTTTCAATCACTAAATCCATACTCAAACCAACCATAATCTTTCCAAAGTTCCCTTATTTTTGGGTTTACATAAACAGATGCATAGAAAGCTACCTAAGCTTCTAATTCAAACACATAATTGAATAATCTCATGAAATTTCAAGGAAATAAGGGATAGATTTCCCTTCATAACTCAATTTGATTATCAACATAAATTATCTCCTAAAACCCTCACATCTACCATAGCCTTCCAAAACGAAAGAAGAATCCCCAACCAAGATTAAGAGAGAGAGACTAGATCAAGAAATTTTCCATACCTTGAGTTCAATCTAAACAATCCTCACAAATTTCCCCAAATTCTTCACTTGGAGAGTTTCTCTTCAACACTCACGTTTTCCCCTCTTCTTGGTTGCACACAAGAGATACTCTCAAGTCAAAGACATCTTAGAGTTTAAGATAGATATTTATGTTTATAATAAGACAAAATTTAATCGTTTAAGCATCCTAAATTGCAATTTCACAGAAAATCCAATTAGAGTTTAAAAATTATGCAGATTCCAAATATCAAATCAATTTTTGAAAATTAAGCCTCTAAGTTGCCCAATTTCAGATTCAAATAGTTTATTGTGACAGATAATTTCCTTATTCAACAGATAGGAATCCATATTTCTAAGTTTCATGTAATTCAATGTACTTTCACACAGAATTTCACAATAAGCATTCAAAAACACAGAATAGAAGACCAAAGAGATACCAGAATCATGTACGAGGGTCGGGTTATTACACTAATCAAGGTAATTCAAGGATTATAACTCTTTCATGATCATTTTCATGAAAAAATTTTCATGATCCCTAACTTTTTTCATAGTAAAATAGTATGTCTATGAGGATATCATTTTGCGAAATGACTAAAATATCCCTACATATACATTGTATAAGCATTTGTTTTTAAATCGAACCCCTCTCTCTCTCTCTCTCACCAAACCAAAGCCTACTGCACCGACCGCCATCACAACACTCTCTTTTCTCTTCTCGGTATTCTCTCTCCTCTTTATCTTTCTAAACCAAACCCTAGCCTACTCCACTACTGATCACCCGCTGCAGTATGTGTATTTATATATATTGATGTATGTATTGATATATGTATTTCAAGCAGATTTGTCGCGGTCCTCTTCATCTATATTGATGTATGTATTGATATATGTATTTCAAGCAGATTTGTTGCAGTCCTCTTCATCTTCTTCAAATTTGAGAGAGAGGGAGAAAGGAAGAGGGAGAGATCTTGACCGAGAGATCCCAACTAGGGGTGATATGGTGGTGGATCGACGGCAGCGTAGCTAAAGTAGGTATTGTAGTCGCCCTCGTCGCGCGATCTCACCGTCGGCTATAATCGCGATTTGTGTCGAAATAGAAACAAACCCAAACAAAGCCAAATCAAAAAGTAAAAAAATCTTTGCTCGGGGAGATTTTTCAAATTCCGAAGTGATTATCGAAATTTTTCCAAAGGATTTTTGATGCTAGTGTACAAATTGGCTCGGTGGAATGTAGATCAGAGAAGATACAGTGTAGATCAAATATTTAAAGCTTAGTTGGAGAAGATAGACTGTATATTGGCAATGGTGATGGTCGATCGGCTATTGGTGTATTTAAAAGATCTACATAATTTAATGATAATTAAATCTATTTTATGAGACTGACCTGTAAAAAACCTTAATATTTAACCATTAATTCACCACTTAATTGAGCCCATAACTATTCTTGGGGCATCTAGAAGTAGTTACCCAAGGTGGTGATTTTTTATTGTTATAATTAGGTTAATGGAAAAAAAAAAAATACAAGATCCACTCCATTTTTGATGTTTTTGGTAATGATAAATTTGATAATACCCTGCAATACAAATCTAATTGATACAGTATCAGAAAAAAGCTCTTAAATATGTCAATATAGTACCCGAAATTTATACTTATCAAAATCACAATGCATTGACAACCTTTCCGAGAATGGATATAAAAAATAGTAGATTTTTATGAAACTTGACAATCATATATAAATTATTTAGCATAATACAATGGTATCATATTCAAACAAAAGAATTGTTTGACTATAATGATACAGTACAATCAAACAACACTAATATGGTGCTATAATTATATTTTTATGAAATTAAAGTGTTATATATATTTTTTTGTTATTTAGGCCAAGTTTGGGGATTTTAAAAAAAGCCAAAAAGTTAAAAAGTTAACACTATTCACCAAAAGTCAACAATTACGGCTGCACAATTTCCAATTCAAATTTTTCCCTACCAATCAATTTTTACAATTTTTTATTACACATTTTTCAATAAAAAGTCAAAAAGTTAACCCAAACATCCATATTTTCAACCTCAATTTTTTAGTCCAAAAAGACAAAAAGT